CTAGACCGTCCCGTCACATTAGCTAATTACAATTCAAGAGCTGAACCTTCACCTTCTACTGTTCCGAAATTGCTATCCTGAGCAGTGTGTAGATGTACAGTGTGTAAAGTTGTACAGCCTTGCAGACTTTGTGCACTGTTTTGGCATTGAGATGCACATTTTAAGCCAGTTTTATGCTAGTTCAGATTTTTTTTTTCATTACCTTTGAATATTAATTAATTAAAAATCAGGAGATTATGTAGGAGAGCACATTAAAACTGTCATAACTGAAATGTCAACAGGTTAACATGAAGATACAAATAAAACAATATTTGTATAAAACCATTTATGCAATTACATTTGCAAATATCTTTTGCTATTTTTAAATATTTAAAGCCATTTTTAAATGTCTCTTTCTCAACAGAAATGTGAGTTTGGTTGCCTGAAATAATGTTTGTGTTATGCTGTTTGCTCAATTCAGAAGTTTAGCTGAAAAATTATTGATAACATCCTTTCCCTGATCATAATACACAATACAACTCAAATGTTGCACTGCTTCAGAACATGGGTTCTCAAATTGAGGGCTGTGGAAAAGAGAAAAAAAAAATGGGTGTAAAGTATAAATTAACAACGACAACAAGAATAATAATAATAATAAACAATAAACAATTTACAGGTTTTGACATAGATATTTCATTCTGCTTTCTTACATTATGACATTAATAATTTTTTTATTTTAATATATTGATAGCCATAGTTTCTTTCTTTCTTTCTTTCTTTTCGGTAACACTTTATTTTAAGGTGTCCTTGTTACAGTGTAATTATACATTTAAATACTGAGTAATATTAATTAACTACATGTACTTACTATATGGTTAGGGTTAGGATTAGGGTTTGGCTTAGGGTTACTTGCATGTAATTATGCATAATTACATGCAAGTAACCCTAAGCCAAACCCTAATCCTAACCCTAACCATATAGTAAGTACATGTAGTTAATTAATATTACTCAGTATTTAAATGTATAATTACACTGTAACAAGGACACCTTAAAATAAAGTGTAACCTTTTTTTTTTTTTATTTCTTCTCACAAGATGTGTCTTTGGCCCTTCTTTCTTTCTTTTCAAAGCATTTACACTGTCCCTCTCCTCAATGTCAGAGCATCAGATAAAGGAGATTGTTTTTTCACCAGAGCCTCTTTGCAATTCTTGTCTCTTCTGTCTCTCCTTTCTCACACATTCTCTTCCACCATAAATATCGAACAGCTAGTGTAGTGACACTGATGGTGGAAATCAATTTACTTCTTGATGCGGCATAAACTGTGGCACACCAGAGGAAGTTTGTTGATTCCCATATGGCATTGTGCAGAAACACACCTGAGAGTTTTTGGCCTTGCTGTCAGCTGCTGCAAACCTGTCTGAATAATTCATCGTATTATTTGCCTTTTTTTCTTCCCTTATCTGCCACTCCTCCGATTCCATTTTGATTTGTGTAGAGAAAAAGCCGGAAAGATTCAGCATCACACAGCACCAAATCTCATTATCCTCCCCTCCCCCCTCCTGCATCTTTGGTTCGTTTACATTCTCTCACCACAAAAGTCAAGTTTCCCCTTCAAGGGAACTCCATCAGCATGGGGATGCCATAAGCATGACCAGTGTCTGAAGCATGTGTGAAAACACTCCAAGGCCCTGTCCCAAATCACACCCTAAACCCTCGCGATCTTCCTCTGAGTCCACACTTTCATGATGTAATGGTGCTTTGTCTGTTGGGTAGAAGTCTGCTGCGGAGCTTGCCTCAGTGCGGCCTCAGCAGAAGTGTGCATCGAGGGTGCATAGCGGCCGCAAAGGTGGCGCTTGCAAACGCCCTTCTGAAAGCTAAAATGATGAATGGGACATCCTACAGTCTTGTGGACTTAATGGACATGCACACGCGGCAGCCATTGTAAGTCCGCAAGACCGCAAATGCAAGTGAAGTGTGTCATTTGGGATAGGGCCCAAATCACTGGCCCGCACAACCCGTGACGTCATTAGCGGAATGCTCAGAAGTATAAGAGGGTGCCTGTAATGCACATCATCAGCTTCTTTGGCTTTCAGGAGCCGTTTGTTTGTGTACGTGTAGGAAACACTCTGCAAAACGTTTCAGTTAGTGCTTGCCTCTGTTTGAGGACCTGACGACATGCATGATTGATGTGTTTTGTGCATGAGCGAGGAGCGTGCACGTTCAGTGTGTGTCCAGTCACCTTGCCTACATGCCTACGTGAAGCGACCATTGCAAATCATTTGAACTTTGTGTCAGTACGTCATAAATAGGATGAGGCAACAGTTTACTGTCGGGTATTTGTTGTGTCTCGCCGCACCACATCCAGCGTGACGCTCGCGTCTGGTGTAGACACTGTGTAAGACTTATTTGAATATTGCATGGGAAAGAGAGATCCGATCGGTTACCCAGATAGAGAAGTCACTTGATGCTGCCAAGTGTATACACGCCATGTCCTGATTGACTGATGATCCGATCTGCTTGGTCAGATCACGGTGATCGCATCATCGCATGTTAATGCCAAGTTTAAATGCAGCCAGAGTTTATTTGGTTCTCGGTGGAGCTAAATGTGTGCTGTGTGATATGATCGCACTGAACGAGGAGGTGGAACGAAATGTCCCTCACGAGAGTATCTGGATATTGAAGTAGGGTTCCTTGCTCCTCTGTTCAGTCCACATGTACAGATTTCTTGGATTGAGCTCTCATAATGTCTCCCTATTCTAGAAATTATTTGTCAAAAATGTACCGGTTGAGGCTAGTTTTTCTTTGATAAGATCTCCCACTGAGTCAAGAGATTTTTCCCTAGCAGGGTCGGGCTGTCTCCCCACTTTCTGTGGCTTTTAAGTAGGCAGTCCCCCTGAGGCTCCTATTTATTTGCTAGGCTGCCTCCTCTGATTTCAGGGTATTTTAAAGCAGGCGGTCCCCCTGAATCTAATCTGAATCAATATATTAGTGATTGTTGGGTTCCCCATTTCCCAAGTTATTTTAGCTGTCCGAAGCGTCATTGGAGTACCCCCTTGAAGGGTAATGTCTCGGGTTATGCATGGAACCATGGTTTCCCGAGAGGGAATGAGACACGGCGTCCCTTTGCCATGCCATGCCATGCCCCTTGCCTGTGTCATGTCTCCTTCAGACAAAGAAATTGATGACGTATATTACAGGCACCCTCTTATAATTCCAGGAGCTCCACTAATGATGTCACAGGCTGTGCAGGCCAATGATTCGGAGTGTTTTCATACGTGCTTCAGACACTGGTCATGCTGATGCCATCCCCAGAGTGTCCCCTTGGGGACGCAGTGTCTCGTTCCCTTTCGGGGAACCATGGTTACACGCCTAACCAAAGATGTTTACTGTACTTCCAGTCTGCCCTGAGTCTCCTCTGCTGGGAGAAATCCAGGATCCAAATTTGAATTTTTAAAACTGTTTTTGAAACATGATGGTTTCAAGTTGAACATTCACTTATGTAAGATGGAAGTCCATTTGTAAACATGGTAACAGGTCAACTAGCCACTGACCAGCTAATGACCTTAAATTATGTTCTTACGAGATGCAATGCATCAAGATTCCAGTGACACGCAAATTGTTTGTCCATACCAGATGCAACAGTGCCACAAAACATAACAAAATCACAAATCACAGCCAGTCAGAAGAGTGTGTAGACAGGCTCTCTCTGCAAGTGCTGTCTTACACTAAAAAACAGTCTTTGTCATTGAATAACCTGTTGATATTATTGCAGGTATCACTCAAGTTGTGAGTTGGAGAAAAGGACTGATTTTGGTCACTGGTTCACTCGACACCATTTGATCTGCTTTTGCTCCTTCTATGTAGGCTACTGCGGTGCCAAACAGTAAACACTGGGATTCCAAACACTGACTGTGTAAATGACCATAGCCTTTGATTTCTAGGCACATGTTAATTTTAATGTGTCTTCTCAATCCACACAGACCTGCAAATTGCAGCAGCATGCCTCAAAGAGTTTGTTACAGACTTTCATAGAAGTCAGACATAATAAAACTCATCCCCCATATTTGCTTATGTTAATGGCAGTTGTGCAAAGAAAATGGCCAACAGACCAAAGTAGGGTACAATTGCGACAGGCACTCTGATTATTTGATGTGAATGTTGTTAAATAGGTGATAAGAGCATGTGAGGGATGGGAAGTGGCAAAAGATCTCTCACCAAAGGCTTCAGACTTCAAAGCACACAGTCTATGTTTACCGTAAGGGTAATGTTAAAATAGCAAACTGAGCTATTGGGACCCTGTATCAAAACACATTTACATTCATTTAATACTGAGTGGAACGTGAAAAGATGGGTTGTGTTTACGTGGAATCGCTGGAGTTGATGAGGGGCTCTTAATATTCATTTTAATAAATCTGTACTGAAGTTGGATAGTTACACTATGTGCAAAATTTGGGCAACATTTTGTATGTATCTGTTGATCAACACAGCAAATCCCATTTACCAGTTTGAACCCAAATTATCTTGACCCTCACGCAAACTTCCGAGTCATATGGATTCCTGTTGAAATGTCTGGATTTTTTATCCAAAAACACAGCATTTAAGAGTTGGCTCACAAAGTGTGCTGAAGGTTTGTTGATTCTGATTACATTATGGCTTAGACCTTGATTAGCTTGTTCAGGTGAGTTTGATTAGGGTTGAAGTTGAACTCTGCAGGACTGTGGCTCTACAGGACCGACTTTGGCCACCCCTGCTCTAGAACATAACTTGTTTACTTGAAAATGTATTTATTCATTTATTTACAGGTTTTTTTGTTTGACTGAAATTTGATGCAACCCACTTTTGGTGCCATAAAAGTTCTGGACCCCAGTTTGAAAACCCTTGACTTTTATTATTGAATGAATTTATATCTGTTTTAATTCTTCACATTTTTCAGAGAATATATATTGGACTTTATCTTGCTTTACAATTTAACTTCATGCTTTTAAGCTCTTTTTTTTTTTCTTTTTAATCTCTTTCTGCAGGACGGCATGGGTCACCTGCGTATCACAGAAAGAGGCCTGAAACTGGAGGGCGATTCGGAATTCCTTCAGCCGCTGTATGCCAAAGAAATCCAGTCCAGACCAGTAAGTGCATGACAGGGTCTATCAGTGCGATAGTAAGGAGGACATATATTCTTTATTTCTCACAATGTCCAGGTGTAATAATATCAGTGAGGCTGCAGTGGATGGATGGCTTGATAATGTTATAGGGTGATGACATTATCTCATCTGTCTAGCACGAGTGAGGCTGGAGAGAGTGAAAGCCAGAGTGATAGTGAGAATCAGACAGAGGAGATGAGGTTAATAGCAATAGCCTGATGGGACTGGTGATGAGAGGACATTCCCACCCACTGCAGTAGGAAAAGACTCACTTTAAGAATTAGACAATCACAACACTAAAATGGTAACAACAGGCACAGTAACCAAAATAACCAATTAACAAATATTCATTTATAAGGTGTGGCTTTAGCAAATGTACATACTAAACATGTATTTTATAAATAAATGTGCTTTCATAAACATGTATTTTACATATGAATAACTATAGAGATTTACAACTGTTTACAGACCATTTTAATTCATGCTTTTAAAATTAATTAGAAATTATAAATGGTTTCATTTAATTCTTATTTTTGGATCAGTGATGATTAGTGAATAATGTGCAGGGTTGGTACTGAAATATCATGTGCAAAAGTGCCACCAGAGTTTAATGAATCAATCCCTGAGATATTTCATAATTTCATTATATATATAATAATTTGCATATGCTTTCATTCAATGCGTTGCAGAGGATACACTGCAGGAACATTCCCATAAAGTGTCATAGGCATAGTACTGTAACCTCAGTAACCCATCAGCTGTTGCCATATTTCTAGATCACAACAGCATGGGCATGAATCTACCAATCTATCAATCTGCTAGTTCTTAACTGATTGCCACATATTGAAGCATACTGATGTTTTCTTGAGAATATACTTAAAACAACATATATAAAATAACTGACTATAATTCTATCAGATTCCTTAAAATAGAAAGTAAACCTTCATCACTTGGTTCATTATTTTGCACTCTCTTTTGTGATGATGCCTATAACTTCAATATTATTCCAAACCTTTTGTTTTTCTGTGCAAGACATGTTAGTGTATGTTTTATTCAGAAGGTCACAGCGTCATGAATAACTGGACACATGTTGCTCTCCTGATGTTTCACTGTAAAAACAGCACTGTACACCATATCAGCATATGATTAATCTGGTTTACATTTCTATTACATTGTGGCTTTAAAGTGCATTCCTAGTTTTATTGTTTAATGTTTGTCTTCTGTAATCAAAATGTAATTGTAATCAAAATGTAATAACTTGCTGAGCTTTTGAAACAAATTTCCTTCCTAGTTTTCCTAGTGATCCTAGTTTTCTAACATCTCCCCTTTGACCACCTAGCTCCATTCTTTGTATCTAGCAGCCACTTTGCGTCATCTAATTAATTATTGATAAAAGTCAGGTTTTTTATAATTTTTATGTCCATAATGTCTACAATAAAGTGTTATCTATGAAACTGACATAGAAAAAAAAGCTTTATAGTTTTGTTTTGAAGGTGTGATATATTCTAGATACATTTCCTCAATGACAGAGAATTTAATGATAGATAAGTCACTTGAAAGATTGTGTCAAGTAAAACTTTGTGTTTCTCTTAATTAGCCTCACACACCATTCAATATACATTTTTCTGCTTCTGATCTTTTAAAAAAACAAACAAAACAAAAAAAAACAGATGTTCCCACAATAATAAAGAGCTTATACAAAGGAAGCGGTCACACTTTATTTTAAGGTCCAATTCTCACTATTAACAAACCATTAACTACGACTTTTGCCTCAAACTCCTAATTTGTTGCTTATTAATGATTAGTAAGATAGTTGTTAAGTTTAGGTATTGGGTAAGATTAGGGATATAGAATATGGTCATTGTGAATATGTGCTTTATAAGTTCTAATAAACAGCCAATATGTTAATAATAGGCATGCTAATAAGCAACTAGTTAATAGTGAAAATTGGTCCCTATACTAACGTGTTATCAAGGAAGCATTTTACACTTGAGTGAAAAAAGCAGCAAAACTGCAATGCATAATTTATATTATATGCATATCTCCAGCTTATACAATAGTATCTTTAATTAAAGTCAACTGGAGCATAAATTATTTTTGTAATGATTATGACCGATATTTTGTTATAACTGTTACTAAGAGCCACTTTTAAGCAATTTCATTGTTTTTGTTGACTATTTTCAGCTGTATGCAGATGGCTGCCTTGAATTTTGCTGTTTTTAAAAGCATGATTCTTAGAGGAGACCATCTGTTCCACACTTAAATTAACTCAGACAAGCATGCTGTCTTCATTTATGATCGGTCCCTAAGCATAGATCGAAATCTTTACCAAGTGTTTGCACAGTACCGTGCCTGAGGGGGGACTTCACAAATGCTTACCATTTTGTGCACTTGCTTTCCTTTAAAAACTCAGAGGTGAATGTATGGTTATAACACTGCAAAATCGTTGGTAACACTTTACTTGAAGGGGTGTGCATAAGACTGACATGGCACCTTCATAATCATGACATGACACATGTCATGAATATGAAGGAGGTTTTATGCATGCTTATGACAACTGTCATTAAGTGTCATTTGCTCAGTTATTATAGTTATAGTTTTTTAGTGAGTATCTTTGTCTTGTTTTCCAGTTAAAATATCTAAACAACCTTAAAACAAGATAAATTCACCTGATAAGAAAGACTACATACAATATTAAAACTTGTTTCAGAGACTGTATCTTGATTGTGTATGCTTTGTCTTGTGGCACTGGCAGACAAAAAAAATTGCAATAAGACAAAATACACTAATATTCTGTAAGGATCACCAGTCACTTGCCTGTCACCTCCCCAGTCTCTGTTGCTGCGTCCCAATGTGCCTACTTATATTATGCCCCTAAAATATGTACTTTTTTGGTGAAGACAAAGTAAACACTTTTGAGTGTGTAGCATAAGAGTAGGCAAGCTTTGGGACATACTTTCATGTCATACAATTTAATGGACCGCTCTGCCGCATAGTTACATGCACCCTGTCACTGTAAACTGGCCTGTCAATCATCTTGTCACAGTTTATATCCTCCATATTTCATTTAATTTAACTTGTTACCGTATAATTTTTACCAGATTAAATGTTGATTGTTAGTAACTCAGACCTCTTTACCTAAACCTCTCTACTTAACCATCAGTCACAAATTTTATTCATATTTGTAGTTCTCAACCGAATCATTCGTCAAAGTGCAATGGATTGTGGGTAATATTAGCCATTAGAGTGTGCACGGATCCACACTTCAAAAATTTACCTGAAATAGTAGACCATCCGGGGACTTTTGGCATACTCTTTTCAACATACTATGCTTTGGGACACACTTATTCTAATCTCACATATTATTTAGGAAGTATAGTATGAACATAGGGATGCAGGACATATCTGTCACCTCTGCATACTACATCAACCACAATCCTCCTTGGCCAGCACCTGCACTCAATCCACAATTAGAACACCTGCCGGGTACTTTTGGCATAATCTTTTCAACATACTATGCTTTGGGACACACTTATTCTAATCTCACATATTATTTAGGAAGTATAGTATGAACATAGGGATGCAGGACATATCTGTCACCTCTGCATACTACATCAACCACAATCCTCCTTGGCCAGCACCTGCACTCAATCCACAATTAGAACACCTGTTTGTCATTACCCTCATCAACTGCTCTACAGTCATGGCCAAAAGTTTTGGCAGGCCTTATTAAAGGTGAAGTATGCTCCAAACAATACACTGTGAAAAGAAATGCTGTTTTTAATAACAAAAAAAAAGGCAGTTGTGGTTTCCAGAATAATCCTGTAAAAATACATTAAAAGCTTTACAAATCTGTAAAAATAAAAATAAAAATAAATAAATATATATATATATATATATATATATAATGAGACAATATTTACAGTGTTTACCCTTGTTATCATAATCTCTGCAATTCGCTCTGGCATGCTGGATTTTAGCTTCTGGGCCAAATCCTGACTGATGGCGATCCATTCTTGCCTTATTAGTTCTCCTCTTGCAGGACGTTTTGATACCATTCTTTATTCCTGGCAGTGTTTTTGGTCATAATTATGAGAAAGCCCACTCTCTTGGTTGAAAAGCAACCCCACATATGGATGGTCGCAGGATGCTTCACTGTTGGCATGTCACAGAACTCATGGTAGATGGTCTCAGGATGCTTCACTGTTGGCTCAACACAGGATTCATGGTAGCGTTCACCTTTTCTTCTCCGAACAATTGATTTTCCAGATGTCCCAAACAGTCAGAAGGGAGCTTCATCAGAGAAAATAACTTTGCACCAGTCTTCTGCTGTCCAATCCTTGTACTTCCTGCAGAATTTCAGTCTGTCCTTGAGGTTTTTCTTGGAGAGAAGTGGCTTCTTTGCTGCCCTTCTTGACACCAGGCCGTTGTCCAAAAGTCTTGGTCTCACTGTGTGTGCAGATGCTCTCACACCAACCTGCTGCTATTCCTGAGCAAGTTCTGCACTGGAAGTGACACGATTCCGTAGCTGACTCCTCAGGAGGAGACGGTCCTGGGGCTTGCTGGACACTCTGGTATGTCCTGAAGACTTCTTCACTGCAGTCGAACCTCTCTCCTTGAATTTCTTGATGATCCGCTAAATGGTTCTTTCAGGTGCAATATTCTTTGTAGCAATTTCCTTGCATGTGAGGCCATTTTGATGCAAAGCGATGATGGTTGCACGTGTTTCTTTGGAGGTAACCATTGCTAACAAAAACACAGTGATTGGAAGTGCTTCTTTCATCCTTTTATAGCAATCAGTCTGCTCTTACAATCTAATTAGTATGATCGTGATTTTACCCGACTAGTACTCATTCACACTTTCACATGTGCTGCTGATATGATTAGTCAATTAATGTTAACTGGTCATTTTGTGTCAGGATCAAAAAACAGTGAAATTTGTTTGTTTTTTTTGTGAAAAGTTCATATTTGTTTTGGCCAATGAA